CAATCACTGTAAAAGTGTAACATAAAAGGTAAAATATGTTAATATTTGTTACAAACTTCAAATAAATACACTTCTTTTACAAGATTCAAATGTCCATGTTCAATTTAGCGTAACCAAATATTTTTCAAAAAGTGACTGAATTTTCATATTTTTGAAGGCCAAAAATACAGTAAATTTTCTTAGCAAGCCATTGTTTTAAATGAAAAATGTGAAATGATTTTCTGTTTTAGGAGCCTAGATGAGGCTGTTTCAGTCAAAGAGCTGGGATGGGATACAAAGACATTCAAAGCCTGGTTGAAAAGGTGGAGGACAATGACTGCATTTGACTACACTGGATCTTCACTACTGAATAGTGCTTGGTTGCCTTGAGTAGCTCATTAATTTGTGTTTGAGCCGAGCGCTGAGCTTATGTCATTTAATCAGCCGTCAGTCATCTGGTCATGGTGAGACGGTGGAGGGAAAGCAAAGAAAGTTCCTGAAGACGATACTCCAAGACAGTCTCTGTGAGCCACAAGCAAAAAAGATACAGTATACAAAGATGATCCACAAAAGACATGCATGCCCACACACTTGAACACACACACACACAACTCAATGCGACAACAAGCATAGTAGATGCATGCAAGATACACATGCACCGCCATCATAGTGTTCAACAGAGCTACATCTCTGTCCTTGCTGGGTCTGGAACACATTATCTCACGTCAAAATCACCCAACCACACGCTCGGCTGGGTTATAGACATGCTGAGATGAATCTGTCTATCAGAACACACAGCCACAGTATATCTCTCCATAGCCCCCAGTGCTGATAACAGGATATAGTGCTAAAACCAGTTTTCAATATTGGTGCATTAATATAGAATTCAACTGATTTATGTGGTCATGTGTGTGCGTATATTGAATATTTTATTACAGCTTTGAACGTAGCGTAGGTAATCAGATTTGAGAACCTACACTAGCTGTTTTTCAATTCCAAACAGACCATGTTTTAGCACAGGCCATGTCCAATAGTCTTAAAACAAAGGCGCCATTAAGAGTCTGTCAATGATGCCAGAGTAGAATTACGTTTGGTCCCCTAAAGCAGTAGCTGGCAAACTGGGACCCCCAGATGGTTCACATTTTTGCTCCAATCTGACTTACAACACTTAAGGATAGAGCAAAAATGTGGGGGTCCCTGAGGGCCGGTTTGAGAACCACTGCCCTTAAAAACCATACTTGAAAAGGGGATCTGTGAGTATCAAGATCTTTAAAAGGTTTAAAGAACCATCACATAATGTAAATGTTCTACTATACCTAGAATTGACATTCTGTAGAGGTTCTTTAAACTTCAAAGAAGAATTGTAATGTTTATAGAGAACCAAACATGGTCCTTCTATCACACGAAGAACGCTTTTGTGAGCTAAAATGTATGAAAAGAATATATGCTTTAAAACAAAAGATTATGTCATTATAAAATAAAAGGAATGTGTCATCATTTTTTTCTATTTTTGAAAGATATATTGTTTGTATTTTTCACATATTGTGTTGAATTGGCATAAGCACATTTCTTTTGTAGATAGAATATAGTTTACATTGGTCAGATGGTATGGAAACAGTTGTGGGACTGAGAAACGTTTGTGTTACTCTAAATCTCAATAACCATATTGTAGAGCCGGTGCTTCAAAATGCTGTTGTCCCCTCTGAAATTGCTGAGGGGACCAAAGATAGAACAGTTTGTATTTCTCAGATAGTATTAACACAGTTCTTTGAATATCTACATAAAACATCGCAGCAGACACAGCTATACACAGCATGGAACAGATTAGCGTACCGAGCGTCCCTTTCCTGCACAACAGCTTACTGTATGTCCACTAATCTCACAGCCCAGACACTCTGGCAATCTCCAGTGCGATTCTGTGATTCTAAGCGCTAACCTATTTGCCTGCAGGCTTGAAACTTCCTCTCTAACTGTATTTCTCCTTCTCTCTGAAACGTTTCCCCTTCTGCTGAGCGCAGACGACAGTTGGCGTATGAAAAGCCGACCTTGCTGCGCTTCCCATAAAGATCTGCAATACGATCATCATTAAACGCTTGAGAGAGCCTAAGTGATATGGTGATTACGCTATGACACTTTTTGGGAAATGAAAACCTGCATCACTGAGCTCATGCCAGAGTCTGCCTGCTACATTACAAGTCATAAAAAGGATCAGTGTTATTTTCAAGTTTAGGGAAAGGCAAATGAATCTGTGTTGAGATCAGTACACTATACTGCTATCCTAGACCATTAAATACAAGTTCTTCATATGTGACTACTAAACATAATTTAAAGTATTTCTGTATGTAGTGTGTCTACTCTTCAACTTCACTAGTAATTGCTTTGCAATGCACAAAACTATTGTTATCTCAGAGTATATTATGCTTCTTCTTGGTATATATATTTGTTTTTTTTGTCCTCGAACTTGTCCCACATTTTTCAACATATCGGCACTGTTCCAACTCTGGAATGTTCTGTCTGTTTGTCCCATAGACTCCCATTCATTTTCGCCCCAACCCAAGCCCTTTTATTTCCTTTGCCCGACAGCCACCAAACTGCATGTTCTCACTCAAAGCAGGTCCTCAAGCTGTATTCCACAGCCATTCTGACCCACACTCCTCTATGTGTCATTTAATTCTCTCGTCCCTCCCATAGACTCCCATTCATTTTCACCAACACCTAGCAACCACTTGGGAACCGCCTAACAACCACTCAGTAATCACTGCGTACACCATGGCAACCTTCTAGCAACGCCTTAGCAACCAACACTTATACCATAACAACTGCCTAGCAACATGTTAGCAACCACCTAGCGACAGGTTTAAGCTGCGCACTCACTCTGATTTTGCTTCAGGAAATGCACTTTTCTAGTTACAGCTTGCTTTCAGTTTTTCAAAGAAATGAGCAGGGATATTTTATGCTTCCAAAGGTCAGTGTTAGAAGTTGGTCACATTTTCTGCTTTCTGAACCAGAATTTTGTTGATCTTTGAAAGGTCTTTCTAAAGTTCTATAGTTGCTGTATTATTATTATTATAACTTATGAGCATGGGTGTAATTGTTTATTCGGCATGGTTAATTGCTAATATCATTAGTATTCACTCTCTCTAATCTTTACTTTAGTAATTTTTAGTTAAAATTGTAAAAATGTCAATTGACAGTTATCTAATTTAAATTCTTAAACTTAATAACTAATAGCACATTTTGCATTTTTACCATGTAGTTTACTGAGTGATGAGGATAAGGATGTAATAAGCTCGGAATTTTATAGGGGTGATATTATGTTTCCTTAAGGGTCTAATGCTTTTTCGGTAACACTGACTTGGACTGTTAAGAAAAAACAGTAGATCACTTCCAAGTGAAACAGCTTGAACTCAAATTGATGACATTACTCTGTACTGCCCTCTGAAGGTGTTACTGCACCTGACAGAAGCAAAACCTTTCATTGTTTTCATAAAACCCACAATATGTCTCAATGAATGCTTTTTCTCCTTTCGTTCATTATTGATATTTCAGTCTTTTATCGGAGGGTATGCATCCCCCCCTTTCCCCCTTTGCATTACGCCCCTGCTTATTGATGGTATGTAGGAGGACAAATACTTGGAGTTTGCAATGGTAAGGTATAATTCTGGGCCTGGTTTGACTCTAAGAATCCATCAGGAGTTTAACAATAAGAAGTGAAATCTATACAAATTACGCAGGAGACAGAGTGGAGGTGGAACACTGAGTGGGCGAGTAAGCAGCTGTTTAAATACTAGCAACAGTGTGAATGGCAGGGAAAAATCTGAAAATGTTCCACTCAAACTTTTGTGTGCTCTTCAGGGTGTATATTATTGGAATTTGTCCCTGTTGAACTGCAAAAAAAGAAAAAAGAAAAAAAAAAGCCTCATCAAAACAGAAAACTCGTTACAGAGCTGCAGAATGAAGAGAACGGAAGAGAGAGAGAGGGGAAGAGAATGAGTAGGAGGTGTTTGAATTGAGCATGCTGCGGGAGAGACAGAAAGAAAGGAAGGAAGAAAGAGCAGAGGAGAGAAAATGAAGGTGTGGAGAGAGACAGGGAAGGTGAGAGAGTGAAGGTGTGAGAGGCAGGTGTGCACCGAGAAAATGGTGAGAGAGAGAGAGAGAGAGAGAGAGAGAGAAAGAAAGAGATGGAGAGGAGGGCAAAGTGAAAATGCAGTGGCGACACAAAAACGAACAGGAAAATAATGTGCCATTATTTTAACCTGATGACCTTTTAACCCTTAGAAATCACACTTAGCACCAAGGATAACAAAAGCGTGTCATTGTTTTATATGAATTATTTCTTATTTATGAGCTTTTGTTTTACATCTTTTATTACTTTATTTCATTCATTTTTTTATTTATCCTTATTTTGTCTTCTTTATTATTAACATTGTGAACTGTAAATTTTAAATTGTTTCCATGTGAGCAGAAGAAGGGATATTTTATTATGATTTGAATTCGAAGAAACATCTTTGTTATTCATCATTGTGTAGAGAAAAAACATTCTTTGTATTTTTTTATGTCAAGTAGGATTTTTTTTTGTCATTTTCTTTCATCTAAACCACTGGAAAAAAGGCAGAAATATAGACTCAAAACCTGACTCTGTAGTTACTACATAACCTGACTATACATGATTGTTACTAATAACTAACTATGTAACTAGAGATGTAATAAATTATATAATTACATATCAACAACAACTTTAGACTTCTAATGGACTAAACACATTGAAACACCATGTTAACATATTTTGCAAGCTGCACACAAACCAGCAACACATTACTGAGAGACAGAAAAAGAGAGAAACGCAGTGAGAAAGGGACACAGAGAGACAGAAAGACAAAGAAATTAAGCCCATACAAAAAGAAAGAGGGATGTGCTGAGAGAGTGGATGAGAAAAAAAGAGTGAAAGCAAGCGAGAGGTGGGATAAAGGGAGAGAATGATGGAGGTGAAACGGTAGAGAGGGAGGTGTGTAGGTGCTGACCCTTACTGGCCCCATCAGGCCCCCGGAGCACGGTGCACTCCTCAATCTGCCCAAACGCTTCAAACAGCCTGCGTACATCGTCCTCACTCTGCTGTTTCCCCAGCATCCCTACAAACAGCTTCCGGTCTTCTGAGAGAGAGAGAGAGAGAGAGAGAGAGAGAATATATATATATGATTATTAGTGATGTCAAAGTAATACAAAAAATAATGCCACTATTTTTTAACACTGTTAATACACTTTTCAGTTTGACCCTTCCAACCATCCATAGTTCCACCATGAAGCCCAGCTGCACTTGTGATGCATGTTGCTAAGGCTTCGCCACTGTAGCTCTCTTTAAAGTTCCTCTGATGGCTCTCTTGATTAAACCAAAGTTATTTCCAGCTACTGCAATACCTTAAACTTGTTTATCACTGAAGAGCATTGAGTTTGAAGCATCATTTAGAGGCACCTCTGAGGCCAGTAATATCAGTAATTCAGCAGACTACACTGGACAGAGCTTGCCAGACAGAAACTAGCCAAAGAAATAGCAACATGAAAAGCTCCAGTTCCCCTTGAGAGGAGATCTAACAGGTATAAAAATTAAAGCCTACAATCGTTGAGAAGTTTGAATCATCTATGATGTATTCACTGAATGACTTTGATGAAAATAGGAAACTGTATTCACTCTGGAAATCACATAATTTTCATGTTCACACTCATGCAAACTCTGCATTCACAGAATGAAAGTAATATTGTTGAATTATTAGGGTAATATGTGCGTTCTGATGAAACTTATTTTGTCCACTTATATAGCTATAATAAAATGCACTGCTTTTTAAAAGGAAGAAAAATATGTCTTTAAATATATCTTTAACTGATTCATGTTCAATAACTAAATTTAGCACAATAAAGAACTGTTGACTAAATGTAAGTGGGTAGGTACACCTTGGGCAATCATGTAATAGTACCTAATTTGATTTCTTTTCTTTTGAAGTTTTTCTGTTGTTTTATTAAAGATCAGTGACCAGATATAATGTAATACAATTTAATGCAATAAATTAAGTAAAAATACAATAACTAAATCTTCAGATGTGTTCAGACAAGCTTATAAAACAAATGAACCAAGTAAGTGTAAAAGCAATTAAGCTCCAATATTGTTTTTAGATCTGAAAACATCCACAGGTGTTTCTGTCCATCCCTAAGGTGTGAGAAGACACCTTGATGCTATGGGTCTCAAAGGACGTTTAGCCGTGTAGGAGTCGTTACTGAGAAAATAGACAAAAAAGAATGGAGTACTTGGATTGTGAGAAGCAGAAAATGCAACCAACTTCTAAGACTGAACTTCGGAAGTGTTGAAAAATATTTTTGCAATGTTTCTTGGAAACAGCAAGTCTCGTGAAAATGATAGAAGCTGTAAGCTGTGGATACACCAGATACTGAAAAATAAAATGTATTTAGTTGTTGAGCCTTCTGTGTAATCTTCTGTTAAATGTGTGTTTTGTGCCGTTTTCTTGATGCTGAAAAATGAATAACTGTACAGTAATGGAAATGGCTATTTTTACTATACATTAGATAAATGAAGGGTGGCCTCTGACTTCAGCACACTACTGCATGATTTAAACGCTTTGGCAGCACTGTAACATGGTCATGCCAATAAAGCTCTTTTGAGTTGAATTGAACTCGGCTTGAGGGTGGTGGGGGGCACATTTTATTAGATTATTGTGGCATGAAAGGCTCTATGAAAAGGCCTGATACACTGAGGAGTTCAAATGGGGGAAGGAACAGAAAAATAGAAAGCAGGGGCAGAGTGACAGAAAGAGAAAAAGTGAGGCTGTGAAAAGGAGAACAAGCACAACTCACACACTTTCTCAATTACTATCAGTGTTCTGCAGTGTTATATGGTTTATACAGATACACACACTCACACACAACAAACACTGACTCTTACTCATATAACCTCACAGCACAGAGACACTCGCACCATCATGACTTTCTGCTTTTAACCTTCTGTGAGTTATGTGGCTTTACTCAACTATTTCTGGAAGATTCTACAATCTTTGCCACGAGAGCTGTGAGAAAAACTTTCAACATCAAAAATAAAGAAAAGATGAGGCTAAAAACTTCAGTTCTGAGCTGAAATAATTCCTGAAACTAAAGTTCTACATACTAACCTGTAGAAACATTCCACTATGACTATTAGTGCTAAGCCTTTAATTTTAATTAACCTGGTCAACAAACAAGAAAAAACATCTCTATGATAATACTAATTTATAGCACATCTATGGGATTTGCCATATGTTAACACTTATTAAAGATGTTCCATGCATATTATAAATTCCAATATTCCATACATATTAAGACTTTCCTTTAGACCTTCCGTCCAGCTCCTGAAGACCTAACCAAGAGGATAGCTCGATTGGCTTTATCTACCGAGATACCACAGGAAAGAATTTCTGATGGCTGTTTTTTGTTTTTTTGTTTCCAATCAAAACTTACCAATGCAATGCTTGTATTACTAGCCTACTTGCAGAGTTTAAATACAAAAAACTTATTCTATTTTATAAAAATAGACTAAACATCACAGATATGTATTTTTTTGTTCCCAGCAATAATTAGTCCTGAGTGCTTACCACAATTTATGATTGTGACATGTATAGACTACGGTCCTGTCCACTGAGGTCCATTGTCTTTGACCACCTGCTGAGAACTGGTTGATACAATAAATCAGAAAATACACAATTCCCCCTCACCCAAAATGAAATAGATCAACTAAGACTAGATCAGCTAGGAGCTAGAAACTGCATCACAAACGTCTATGAGCTATGAGCTATTTAAAACATCATCAACTTCCATCTAAAATAGATTTGCTTATGAGGTGTCTGACACTGTATGACATACATTATATGGACAAAAGTATTAGGACACCTACACATTATACAGGAGCTTTTTTGACATCCCTTTTAAATCCATTGGCATTAATAAGGGAGTTGATCCTCCCTTTGCAGCTATGACAGCTTCTACTCTTCTGGGAAGACTTTCTACAAAATTCATCCAGAGAAGAATTTTTTAGATCAGACACTGATGTTGGACGAGAGGGCTTGGCTCGAAATCTCCGTTCTAGTTCATCCCCAAGGTGTTCAATGGGGTTAAGGTCAGGGCTCTGTGCAGGCCAGTCAAGTTCTTCCACACCAAACTCACCCAGCCATGCCTTTATGGACATTGCTTTGTGCACTGGGGCTCAGTCATGCTGGAACAGAACAGGGTCTTCCCCAAACTGTTCTCACAGTTTGGAAGTTGGAAGCACAAAATTGTCCAAAATGTCTTGGTCTGCAAAGCACTAAGATTTCCCTTCACTGGAACAAGGGGGTCTAGGCCAACCCCTGAAAAACCCCATAGCATTATCCCTCCTCCACCAAACTTTACAGTTGGCACAATGCAGTCAGGCAGGTAATGCTTTCCTGGCATTCACCAAACCCAGACTTGTCCATCAAACTGACGGACAGAGAAGCGTGACTCATCACTCCACAGAATACATTTTCACTGCTCCAGAGTCCAGTGGCAGCATGCTTTACACCACTCCATCTGACGCTTGGCATTGTGCTTGGTGATGTAAGGCTTGCATGCAGCTGCTCGACCATGGAAATATGCCATGAAGCTCCCGGTACACAGTTTTTGTGCTGATGCTGATGCCAGAGGAGGTTTGGAAGTCAGCAGATTGTTGGCAGCTTTTATGCACTATGTGCCTCAGCACTTGTCGACCCCACTCTGAAACTTTACGTAATCTGCCACTTGCTGTGGTCCTTAAATGCTTCCACTTTTTAATAATAGCACTCACAGTTGATTGTGGAATTTCTAGGAGGTAAGAAATTTTGTGAACTGACTTTGTAATGGTGGCATCCTATTACAGTACCACACTAGAATTTTGTGAGCTCTTTAGAACAACCCATTCTTTCACAAACGTTTGTAAAGGCCAACTGCATGGCTAACTTTTATACACCTGTGGCAATGGGACTGAATGAAACACCTGAATTCAATGATTAAGAGGTGTGCCCCAATACTGTTGTTCATATAGTGTACTGTTATTTATAAAAAAGGACAAACATATGTCCACATAGCTAAAAATAATATGAGCAATCTTTAAGCCTGGATAATGTTCATACTTTTGTCCATTTTCTATACATAGTCTAACTTTTGGTCATACAGTGTCAGAAACCACATTTTGTGTTTCAATTACTTGTTAGCTACATTAGCTTCTTAGCTCCAGTGTAACAGTGCAAAAGCAAACTTTAGACACTAAATGTTTTGACTGATCAACCGGGAAAATGGGTAATTAATTTTTTCACTGAACCCATTGAGCAACAATACTTCAAACTAATGTTACAGTTATTATAATACACATAATACACATATGCAAAGGCTTGCCTTTTTTCTGATAGGCTGCACACTCTAAAAAAAAAAAAACAAGTAAAAGTGCACAAAGCCTTAAGAAAAGGTTTCCTCTGAATGACCCACATACATACCATTAAGCCATATTTAATCTCTGAAGCTAAACCCTTTTTACTATAATCTGTATTTCCATAGCATGAGACAGATCATTTATCTCCTCTACCTTACTGCTCTTTTACATTATGCATTGGAGCTCTCAGTGTGCTGTGGAATGAAGTGTATAAAGTGTCTACAGATGGAGAGGTGGAGAGAGATACAGCACAGTCTGGCAGGAAAAGAGACAGTCACTCTTCAATGTGAGTCATGTTAGAGAGAGAGAGAGAGAGGAGAGAGAGAGAGAGAGAGAAAGAGAGTTAGTGGTGCACCCTTCTCGCGCTGTGTTGTCTGTTGGTTTCATTGGTGAATTCCCATCACTTTTATGTGATAGTGTTGTGTATATCTGCTTCTGTACTGAATTGGAGTTGGCTCTCTTTCCGGACGCAGAGACTTTATTTTCAAATAAACATCCAATAGCTTTTGTTGAGTAGCCGATTAACAAATAACGTGGCTCAGAAATGTCAAACTCAACCGCATTGTTTTCAATAAAACTTTTATACGTCGAACTCTTCTGGTATCTGTGCAACTAGCGTAAATATTGTAAAAAAAAAAGTTTAAGTTGTAAAAGAAAACACAAACATCTGGAGGGCAGAATTTTGAGATCCTT